GGTGGGCAGGCTTCCATAAACTGCTCTTTCACAACCAAATCACGAAGCGACTCGTAATCCTTCGTCGTCTTGGATAACTCCACCCACCGGTCCAGGTAACTGGTCAGGCGTACCAGGAACTGCTCTGGACTTTCTCCTTTTGTCCGGCTTGTTCTGTCGGAACTTGTTGCGGAAGCCATCCTCAGTTAGATTGTACCGTTTCAACAATGCCACCTTCACTTTGTCGTAGTCTTGGGCGTCTTCGTTACTGAGCCTCGAATATACTTCAAGTGCCTTCCCAGTTAACAGCGCGCTTAGGTTGGAGGCCCAGACCTCCTCCCTCCAGCCGTTGGAGCTGGCAAATCTTTCAAACCTCTGTAGGAAGGCATCTACTTCGTCCTTCCCGTCGACGAACGGCGGAAGCTTGGGAGTTTTCGCCCGCGCACGTTCCATTTCCTCTAGTGCGCCTCTCTCTGGCCCGTACCGCCTCATCTCCAGCTGGTGTCGCCGTTCCGCCTCCTTCTCCTGCCTTTCTCTCTCTCTTTCTTCTGCTTCCCACTTCATCTTCTCCATCGACATCTGTCGTTCCCTTTCTTTCTCTTTCTCTCTTTCTTCTGCTTCCCACTTCATCTCCTCCATCTCCATCTGTCGTTCCCGTTCTTTCTCTTTCTCTCTTTCCTCTGCTTCCCACTTCATCTTCTCCATCTCTCCCTGCCTTTCTCTTTCTTTCTCTTGTCTCTCCTTGTCTCTCTCTGCGGCTTGAACTCTCATCTTCTCGAGTTCAATCTCCTGTCTTTTAGCTTCGGCTTCTAGCTTCTGGCTCTCGAGCTCCAGCTCTTTCTCTCTTTTCGCTGCCTCTACTCTCTGTGCTTCCCTCTCCTTAACTCTCTCGTCCCTCTCCAGGGCCTGCTGCACAAACTTATGCAGTACTTCTCCTTCTAGCCCCATCTTTTCCCCTGCTTCGATATATCCCTCCATTTCTTTTCCTTTCAGCAACGGCTACTGACTTGTTTTGGTACTACCGTGCTACAGTTTACTGACTTGAATCGGCCCGTCTGGCCTGCCGGGGTCTGTCTGGAATGTGACTGAGGAGTCCCATACAATGGATGCACACAGATAACGTTGGGCACATGTGGTTTCACTTAAGACTGCATACACTCCCGGGGCCCCTTGTTTACACAATGTAACTTCTCTGGAATGACACCCACTTCAAAAATCCATATAAACAGTCCGTCCAACTCACGGTTGACTCTTCCCTGACTTCTCTTCCCGTGGTAACACACAGCACAAGTTCCGATTGTCCTTCCGGGTCTGTCCTTGTATAGCTCTATTATGGTTCAGTGTCAGGATCTTCGAGTGTCAGGTCAGGTTTTCCGGACGGGGTCTCCACTTACTGGTGGTTACTTCGGTAGATTACGATCCCGCTTCTTGCACCACGTGTCAGATGATGAGCCGAGTCACAGAGTCCGAACTTTAACTGTTTAATCAACTTCCTATCCTAAGACAGCCACCACCAGGACCTCCCTCTCTAGGTCTCCACTCTAGACTGACCTCGCCTTCACATTCTTGGGCCAAACTGGTACAAACGATTGGATCCCATCACATATAGCTTACACGATAGCCTATCCAAACTGATGCAGTGAAGAGTGACACAATGTACTTGCACATGCTGAATAGAACATAGAATATTTGTTCCATCTGGAGTCACCTGAGGACACGGTAGGGTTCACGTTCTAACTGGGTCACAGGCAGGGAACAGGTGTTCTTATGGGAGTCATTGGAATACAACTCAAGTTATTTTTGGATTTTTTAGAAGTAGAGCCTTGTTCTATTGGGTCACCTGAGGTCATATGCGGGTGATTATTCATTTTGTTTAATGTATGGATTGGGATGAATAAATACCCGATTTTGACTCTATTTGTGACATTACGGCCACATAAAGAATGTGGAATGGAGCCTTCTGATTGGTCAATGTCACCCGGCTATATGATAATAAATATTAATATTAAGGCCTGGTGCAGACTTCTGACTCTGTCAGTGCTGAGGTGCAGCAGGTATGTTTAATATCAAATATTAATATTAAGACCTGGTGCAGACTTTCCAAACTCGCATGCAGACTTCTGACTCTGTCAGTGCTGAGGTGCAGCAGGTATGTTTAATATTAAATATTAATATTAAGACCTGGTGCAGACTTTCCAAACTCGCATGCAGACTTCTGACTGTCAGTGCTGAGGTGCAGCAGGTATGTTTAATATCAAATATTAATATTAAGACCTGGTGCAGACTTCTGACTGTCAGTGCTGAGGTGCAGCAGGTATGTTTGATATTTATAATATATTATGTTGCAACCCCTCAAGTTGAAGTCACATCATCGTAGCATTGGATTCCTCATCCTCTTAACTACTGCTAAGCCCAATGATAAGGCCAAAGCAAAGCAAAAATAAAAGTGAATTTTATGGTTGACATCCCCCGCAGACTCCAAATCTAATGCAAGCGGTCAATAAAAAACAAGCTAGGCCAAAAAAACAAGGTTCCTACAATTTAAAATTTTGACTCATTCAATCATTGTACACAAATGGTTTTTATTCAGTGGGAACATCACATATACACAGCCAACATTACATATCACTGCATTAAAAGTAAAGAAAACATTAAATCTGACTTTTCTTGTCTCCTTTCTTCATACATTTTGTAGTTATCTGCCATCCACCTTCTGGCATGGCAACTCCTTCACAAAGTCTTTTCATAAGTAATTATATATTAATCATGTTTACTTAAAACATTAAACATTCCATCTGTTTTTTTATTATGCTACTGTGAAAAGAATAAAGCCATAGATTCACTACAGAGTAAGATATTTTCCCTCTGCAGGTGTTTGGTCGTCAGCTGTCTGCCCTGCAGGCCCAGAGAGATGAACTCCTCAGACAGCTGGAGACACAAAGACAACAGCAGACCTCCTTCTCTGACATCCTACTGGAGAAAAACGCCCTGGAGGAAAACCTGCAGAAGGAGAAGGAGTTACTGAGAACAAAGTTACAGGAGAAGGATGATCTGGAGAGAGGGCTGCAGGAGGAGAGGAAGAGGCTGGAACAGCAGGTCCAGGAACAGAGGAGACTGGAGGCAGTTCTAGAAGAGAAAAATAAACTGGAGCAGGAGCTGGCCAAACAGGTTTGTTTGTTTGTTTTAGTGTCTCCATTAGTGCATTTAAGGTGGTATGGAAGGGTGGCTGAGGACTTTGGGGACATCCTAAAAATACTACTTAGGATTACCTATGGTCATTGATTTTTTTTGTGTAAGTACCTTAGTGCAAGATGATAATTTATGCAAATTTTGATGACGTAATCATGACGTCATCTCGAGTTATGAGCCACGCCCCCTTTTTAGAAAAATCAATTTTTCTGGCCAGCGCTTTGGTTTTTATTCAACATATTTTGTTGAAAGGCACACACTAGTAATAGGAACAAACGTATGCGAGCATTTTTTTAATATCTCAAAGTGTTGATTTTTTATGAATTTTTTTTCGTAAATGTCAACAGTGCCATGCGCCAGCACCCCTCCCCAACACATAAAGCGGCGCAGTGTGTCGGCCTCGCATACGATTTTAGTTTATAAGCTTATCTTTAAAAAAATACCACCTTTTTGTCCCTTTCCATGAACATTTTTTCCACAGTTTCATTCTTAAAATGCTGTATATGTCGTAGGGGTTACATAATGTCCATTTTGAAGCCCGAAAGAGCCGAAATCGCCAATTTTTTGTCGCCATTCCAAGGGCGCCCATCCCTCCCACCAAAAAATGGGTCATTGACCTTTCAGCACGCTGTATTTAGCTTACTACGGCGCTATTTGGAAAAACAGGCCGGGGACATGTCCAGTAAAAAGAACAGCCAAAAGAACGCTAAGATTTCGCGGGAGTAGGGGTCACGTGACTCACCCAAAATGGCGGATGGCGTGTCTTGTTTCCGAGCGGAGAAGCTGTGCGCTTTGCGGCAGCATTTGGGCCGGTAGACGATCTTTTTCAAGGCCATATCCTACGTAGATTTGCAGATGGAGGTTTATGGACTATTCTGAGACCTTATTGGAGAAAATCTGCCGGGGTATTCTGGAGTTACGGACTTGTTTTTTAGGCCTACCCCCAGAGGAGATTGACGATCAGCAAGATCACAACACTGAAAAGTTATCGCGCGATACCGGAGTAGATAGCCCTGGAAAAAAGCTTGCCCGGACGTGGTATGAGATTATGAGCGTATATAATTTTGTTGATTATGTGAATTTACGTTGCACGTTGTCCTAGACTTGTGGAAATAATTTTCACGCACGACGTTCTATGTTCTATCTGAAAAGTACGGACTATCTCTGTAAATCTGTTGGAACTGATTTTTTTTGTAAGCGGCTACTATTTGCTGTATGCTGTAAATCGTAAAAGATTATTGTTAGCAGTTACCGTAAGATTATGTAAAAAATTCTGCTGAAGTTTGTAAGTATCGTATTTTTTTAATAAAAAACGTAGATTTTTATAAAAATTACTAGTAGTTCTTATCATGTCTGTTCACTAGAACGTAACGTTAACGTTTAGTAGTTACAAACGTGTTGCAGTCGATACAAACTCCAGAATAATAAGACAGTGCACAGGTAGAGACGTGTTTTTATTCGGTAGAAAATTACTTAGTATGAGTTGTCTGTGAAAATTATGAAAGAACACAAAGGATAACGCCGCATAATGACGGCCGAGTATGCACGGTGGAGTATGAACTACCAAGCGCGGCTCTTTATGCATGCAGTGACCCGGTCCTCCAGGCCGCTCATAACTAAACCAAGATCTAACTTGTGGCTCAAAGCAGACAGCTTCGTTTCTTTTAGCAGTCGAATGTTTTTATGTAGGAAGTTGTCAGATTATTTCTGGCGTTTTTGGTGATTTGTGTGGCTGCATATCTCTGGTTTTGTGTTGCAACTTGACAACATTTTGCCGATACGAAGTGTGATAAACAATGGAAACGGCTTGTGTTTTCAGAAAATTATTATTCTTTGCATTTGGCAGGTTTTTACCTAAAACGTTTTGCAAACAACTAACATCAAACGCTCAGTAAAACTCTCTTTTCCAGTGTCTTTTCCCTTCCCAAAAATTATGAAAGTGAAGCTCTCAGTTTACGTAATGACCAGCGAG